GAAGTGGAATAACTGGTACAGAGGTCTGAACAATTTTAAGAATCTTGAAACATATTGCAACATTAACACAAACCATTGTGAAACAGATTTAAAGCCCTTGCCTGGGCATTTGAAGCATTGTGTTTTAATACTCCACACTCCGTTAAATTAGGGCTGTCACTCAGCCTCCTTGAATCTCAATTCAGTTTCTCCATCTCTAAAATATACCTTCCCCATCTCACAAGGTTTTATGGAAAAACAACTTTGTTCTCCAAGCATTGCTTTGATAATTTTTTTAGTGTTATAAATATATCGTTGAGATAAATTTCCTACTTAAAACACAGAAGGGAAAGGATTGCCTGTCTTGAGTTCTTCCCATCAGTCAGAATTATTTCATAGTTATTTTAAATTGCGTGGCACATATTAAGTGCTGCATAAGTCTGTATTTAATAAATAAATGAATAAAAGCAAAGCATGATGGAAATATATGAGATTTTTGTCTGGGGAAAGGTATGCAGATAATCAGGACAGGCTAGTAGTGGTTTTCCACATTCAGTAACCCTTTGTTGTCTTTTATTTTGTGTTTCTATTTTTTAAGTTATCATATAGTTAAATTGATTCTTTTTTGTATACAGGTCCATACATTCTAACACATATATAGATTCTTGTAACCATCGCCACACTCAAGATACAAATCAGCTCTATCATGCCCCAAAACTCTGACTAGTATCCTCCTCCTCCCCAATCCCTGGAAACCATCAATCTGTTCCCCATCACTCTAGTTTTGTCTATTTGAGGCCATTCTGTAAATGAAGTAACACAATATGATCTTCTACATTGGCTTCTTTCATTCATCATGATGCCTTTGAGATTCATTCCAACTGTTTTATGTCCTGATAATCCATTCCTTTTCATCGCTGTGTTGTATCCCATTATTTTATTTTTTTCTTTAGACTGATAATGTGGTAGCTTACACTGATCTGAGTTTTCAAATACAGTCATCCATCAGTATCCACAGGAGATTGGTTCTAGGAACCCCTGTGGATACCAAAATTCCCCAATGCTCAAGTCACTTATGTAAAATTACATAGTATTTGCATATAACCTACGCACATCCTCCCTTGTACTTTAAATCATCTCTAGTGATTTATAATACCTAATACAATATAAATGCTATGTAAATAATATATTTTTATTTGCATTTTTCATTGCTGGTTTTTTATTTTATTTTTTCAAATATTTGCAATCCATGGTTGGTTGAATCCACAGATGCTGAACCTGCAGGTACAGAAGGCTAATTGCATTGAACTAGCCTTGCATTCCTGGCATAAGCTCCTCTTGGTTGTGGTATATTAGTCTTTTCATATTTTGCTGAATTTGATTTGCTGATATTTTACTGCAGATGTTTGTGTCTATCTTCCTGAGGGGTCTTGATCTGTAGTTTTCTTCTATCATCTGTCTGGTTTTAGTATCAGGGTAAAGCTTGCCTCATGGAATGAGTTGGGAAATATTCCTTCCTCTTCTATTTCTGGAAGAGATTATATAGAATTTTTAAATGTTTGGTAGAATTTGTCAGTGAATCATCTGTGCTTAGATATTTCTTTTTCAGAAAGTATTTACCTATAAATTTAACTTCTTTAATAGTTATAGGAATATCCAGGTTGTATAATTCACCTTGGGTGAGTTTTGGTAATCTACAATTTTTAAGGAATTGGTACATTTTATCTAAGTAGTCAAACTTATGTACATATAATTGTTCATAGTATTCGCTTTTTTTTTTTTTTTTTTTTGAGGCAGAGTCTCACTCTGTTGCCTGGGCTAGAGTGTCCTGGTATCAGCCTAGCTCACAGCAACCTCAAACTCCTGGGCTCAAGCAATTTTTCTGCCTCAGCCTCCCAAGTAGCTGGGACTACAGGCATGCACCACCATACCCGGCTAATTTTTTCTATATATTTTTTAGTAAGCCAATTCATTTCTTTCTATTTTTAGTAGAGACAGGTCTCGCTCTTGCTCAGGCTGGTTTTGAACTCATGACCTTGAGTGATCCACCCTCCTCGGCCTCCCAGAGTGCTAGGTGCAGTTGTGAACCACCACGCCTGGCCTGTTCATAGTATTCTCTTAATATCATTTTAAATGTCTGCTGCGTCTATAGTGTTATCCCCTTTTGTTCCTGATGTTGGTAATTTTTGTGTTCTGTTTTATTTGTCAGTCTTGCTTGAGATTATCAATGTTATTAATTCTAAGTACCAACTTTTGGTTTCATTGATTCCTCTCCCCATCTTCCCATTTCAATTTCATTGATTTCTATTATTTTTACTTCTGTCCTCCTGTTTACTTACTTTATATCTAGTTAGCTCTTATTTTTCTTATGTCTTAAGCTATAAGCTTAAATTGTTGATTTGAGACCATTCTTCTTTTCTAATGTAAGCATTTTAATCCAATAAATTTCCCTCTAAGCACTGCTTTATCTGCATCCCACAGATTATTTTGTATTTTAATTTTTGTCCAGTTTAAAATATTTTCTAATTTTCCTTGAGACTTTCTCTTTGGCATTGAATATTTAGAAGTTTATTTATAAGTGTTTGGAGATTTTCCAGTTATTTTTCTGTTATTTATGTCCAGTTTTATTCCATTACTATCAGAAAGAAATAGTTTGTATTTTGCTCCTTTTGTAAATTATTAAAGTTTGTTTTATGACTCAGAATATGTTCTATCTTGTGAATGTCTCAAGTGTACTTGAAAAGAATGTGTATTCTGTTATTGTTAGGTTAAGTATTTTATAAATCAATTAGATAAAGTTTGGTTTTTGATTTTCTGTCTTTGTTTTCTATTGAATACTGAGGAGTATTGAAGTCTTCAACTATAATTGTATCTTAGTGTTTCTCATTTCAGTTCTTCATCTGGAATTAATGCAGCTACTACAGCTTTCTTTTAATTAGTGTATCTTTTTTCACCCCTTTACTTTTAACCTACCTATGGCATACATCAGTGGGTTTCTAGTAAATAGTGTACACAGTTGGGTTTTTTGTTTTTGTTTTTGTTTTTTTTGAGACAGAGTCTCACTCTGTTGCCTGGGCTAGAGTGCTGTGGCATCAGCCTAGCTCACAGCAACCTCAAACTCCTGGGCTCAAGCAATCCTCCCGCCTCAGCCTCCCGAGTAGCTGGAACTACAGGCATGCACCACCATGCCCGGCTAATTTTTTCTATATATTTTTAGTTGGTTAATTAATTTATTTCTATATTTAGTACAGACAGGGTCTCACTCTTACTCAGGCTGTTCTCAAACTCCTGACCTTGAGTGATCCACCCGCCTCGGCCTCCCAGAGTGCTAGGATTACAGGCGTGAGCCAACGCGCCCGGCCTCTTAATTGGGGTTTTTAGAAAACCCATCCTGGGTTTTCTAAAAAGACTGCATTTATTTGGTGTGTTTAAATAATTTAATGTTATTGATATGTTTGGATTTGGGTATTTTGGTATTTGTTTTCTGTTTGTTCACTGTTTTTTTAAATCTTCTATTTCCCCTTTCCTGTTTTCTTTTGGCGTATTTGAACATTTTTTAATATTCCATTTTACCTTGCCCAATCTGCCGCTACCATTTGCTTTTCAGTCCGGGTTTTATAGTTACATTCAATAGGACAGACCGGATGCAGTGTGTTTTCTCCATATTACCTTGAACCAGAACCTGTCTTGTAGGCAAATTAACAAATGAGGCCCATAATTTTAAAACATTATGGCTATAAGTTTTATACAACTGGTCTTATCAATATCTGACTGCTCTATCACACTTACCCTCACCGAACATTCTCTGATTCATCACTGCCATGTACCTGGCCCTTTGGCTGTGTTAAACTTGACTTCCCTGTCTTTTCTATTCTGTTTCCCATCCTGGCCAGTGACTGGTCATTGCCCTGTTGTCTTCTTTCAGCTGAGACAAAGGTTGGAATTTTGCAAAAGGAACTCTATGGAAAATGTGGGGTGATACATACAACTGTACTGCCGTTGGGAATGGTAACAGTCCCAGCTCTGCACAGCACCGCCCTGCCTGGGAAGCCCTTGCACGTCCTCTTGTCATGTGATCCTTGAGTCAGAGACACCGGGCCAGGCTTATTGGCCTCCTGTCACAGTTGAGGCAACAGGGCTTTTAGATGTTTGATGCGATCTTCTCAAGGTCGCTCCATGTTGCAGAGGCAGAGCCAGGACCCGGCGGATTTCCTGGCCACAAATCCAATGTACTTAGCACAGTTTTGTGTTATGGTGAGACCACTAGTGATTAAGTGACTGTGTGATTGGGCTAACCCAGCTGACAGGGCATCGGCCCCATGCGTTTTCCAGGGCCTGCTGTAACCCAAGGTGAATACACTTGCCTTAGTGAGGCGTGGGCAGCACCTGAGCCTGGTAGAGTTCCTCCCAGGATGTGACTGGTTTCCATTTCCATGAGCTTTTATTAAACACCTAGTGTATTTCTGGCACAGCCCCAAGCAAGCCTAGGAGACAGAAGGGTAAATAGAACCACTCCCAGCCTCCTGGCCCCTGTGGGTCCATGTGATCATCTAGACCTCTCTGGCCTTCAATCAAGGAGCCTTCCAGAAGGCTTTGGGGAGAAGTATCTGAGCTTATAGAGGTCTCCTTTCTCTACAGTCCTCCGGGCCTCATATGAACAGGAGAAAGAAGCCCTTACCCAGTCCTTCCAGGAGGCCAAAGCTGCCCTGCAGGTGAGAGGGGCTGGGCCCTGGCAGCCTCTGGGGAGGGTAGGGGGGGAGCAGCAGGAGAGCAGTGGGGAGCCCCAAAGCAGCCCAAACCGATGGCCTCTACTTAGGTATGAGGGACCGAGGTGACTGTTCTGGTGTATCCAGGTCCCTTGATGTGGTGACCAGGCTGTTAGCTGAGAAGGATGTGGTTGGTGATTAGGGCTGGCTTGTTTCTCCAAGAACTGTGGGGAGATCCTGGAGACAGCATGGGCCGGGTGCAGAGTGGTTAGACTGCTGGGCACGCACACAGGGCCCTGGGGAGGTATGCAAGGAGGTACCTAATTCAACTTGGCTGCTCAAGGAATATTTCCTAGAGGGAGTGAGAGCTAAGCTAGAAATGGAAAGATGAGTTAGAGTTCTTCAAGTGAAGAAGGGTAGGAAGGATATCTTCCCTAGGCAGATAAAAAGCAATGTGTTCAAAGGCATGGAGGACAGGGGGAAAATGTGGAATAGCTGAGGAACTGAGAGAAGTCCAGGATGCCTGGGGTATACAAGTGGGGGAGAGGGCTGGGTTGGAGAGGTGGACAACAGGGCCAGAAGTGAGCCATATGAAGGGGTTGTACTCTATCCTAAAGGTAATGGACAAGGTTTAGGTGGAGTAAATTCTTGGCAAGGGAAAGGTTTAGAGAGAAGAGTGCACCATGCAGTTGGGGAGGTAGCATGATATCTGGCTGCAGGAGAGGATGTATAGAGGGGGCAGTGAGAGGTGAGACTGCAAGAATTCATTGAGGCTGGTTTGGATGGGCTTTGAACACCAGGACATTGTTCCCAAGGGTATGGGGAGCCATTTACAGGCTTTCTAGCAAGAGGTGGGGCTGGTGTGTTTCAAGCAGTGGTTGAAGTAGATAAATCCTATGCTGTAATGTAGTGTAGACCAAGGACAGACTAAAGAACCTGAAATAGTCCCTCTCCGGCATAAGGTGAAGTCCACCTGTAGCCTCTGTGAGCCAGGCTTTGATCAGCTCCTCCCTGCTTCTCCAGGAGACCATAACCAGACTGACCTCACAGCTGGAGACCTTCCAGGCCAAGATGAAGAGGGTGGAGGAGTCCATTCTGAGCCGAGACTACAAGAAGCACATCCAGGTAGGTGGCAGGACACCTGGGGCCTTTCCTGCTTGAATCTCAAGGGAGGCCAAGGTCAGGCAACAGGAAAGGCCAGCCCCTCTTCAAGGGCAAGGCTCAGACCTGACACTCTTACCTTCAAAGGGCCTGGAGGCAAGAAGATCCCCGTTTCACTGAGGGGGGAAGTAGGACTCAGAGAGAGCCACAGGGATAGTAAAATTCTCAGGCTCTGGATTCAGAGAAAACTCAGTGCAAATTGCAAACCTGCCAGTTAGTACAAGTGGCTTAGCCTATGTGACCCACAGCCACCTCCTCTGTGAAGCTCCTAGCACGTGCCTCATAGGGTGCTATTGGGATAAAATGAGGTGTAAAGCACATTAAATATTTACCATGGGGTTAGAGAGGAAGGTGACTTGTGAAAGCCCAACAGTGAGGTGGTGGCAGAATGGGGAAAAGGGAGGTAGCCTGTGCCATTCTCTATTTGCTGGTGTGATGACGTCACTCTGTCCCTGTCTGTCCCTGTCTAGGATTATGGGAGCCCCAGCCAGTTCTGGGAGCAGGAGCTGGAGAGCTTGCACTTTGTCATCGAGATGAAGAACGAGCATCTTCATGAGCTGGACAAGCGGCTAATGCTCATGGAAATGGTGGTCCGTGGCTGGGAGTGGCTGGGGGATGTGACCCCAGGCTCCTGCTTTCTGGGCATTTTCTCTGTAAACCACGCAGAGGGGCCGTGGCTGGAAGGGGCCCAGCCTGGTCCCTGCCGGTTTTCCCTGCCGCCCATGCTGCCGGCTGAGGTTGCTCTGTGGCCAGTCTGGGGCGGGCGGTGGCTCCTTATCTTGTAGCTGCTGTGCTTCACGCGGCTACTCGTGTTGCTGCCACTTGGGCGATGCTAGGGCAGGTCGCCTGGCCAACCAGGAAGGGCTGGCAGACGCCACATGTCAGGCAGGGACTGAGGAAGGGGGCAGGGCTGGAGGGAATAAGACCAGCGTCAGCAAGGACAGGGCCGGGAGCTACGGGCACCAGGGGCACAGGAGACCAGAGGCCCCAGAAACCTAGGGTTGACTCCACTCGAGACCGTTGCTCCGGGAGAGGTCTCCCTGGCCTCCTGCGTGCCACACACCCTGCATTTTAATCACACCATCTCAAACGTCCCCTATAAATTGAGTTCAACTGTTTTTGTAGAAATGCATAAAAACAAACTTTATATATATCATATCCTTCTGACTTTTGGAGAACAAAAGTTATCCTTTCTTCCATGAACTGATGGTGATAGGAAGTGGTAGTGACTGTATCTTTTTTTCTTAACATCCTCTTGTGGCAAAATGAAAAGTCGTCAACCCTTTGTTGACTCCTTAGTTTTATTATTTTCGGTTATCTTACGGCTCCATGAAGTGTAACATCTAGCGTAGAATGAATCGGCGCTTTCAGGCAGCACAGATAAGAGGGAGGTGACAGCACACCCTGTGCCATGCGCGTCTGGCAGCTTCCTGAGCTCCTTCTGATTCGTTACAGAAAGAAAAAAATCTGATGTTGGAGGAAAAAATCACAACCCTGCAGCAGGAGAATGAGGACCTCCATGTGCGAAGCCGGAACCAGGGCGTCCTGTCAAGGTAGCTGTCCTCCTGCCCCCTCTCCTCTCGTCCCCACCCTTGCTGCCACCATCCCAGGCTGGGAGAGTCTCCACGGAGCCTGGGGAATGGATTGGGAGGTGGGCCCCGCGCCTGTCCAGGGGACCTGGCTCCTCTCTTTTGGGGAGTCAGGAAACCCGAGGGGCCAGCTCTGCCCAGAAGCCAAAGCCCCAGAGCCCTAGTTAGTGGCAGTTTGTCTCTGCCCTGGCTGAGTGGGCTCTTCGGGCAAGGCCGACATGGGGAAAAGGAAACAGGAAGCATGCAGCTCACCAGGCCCCAGTGGAATGAATCAGTTCTTAGGGCTTAGTAAACGAGAGCTAGTCTCATGTGTCAGATATGATTTATTGGATACTGCACATACTTCCTCATGTAATCCTCACAATGACTCTGAGAGTGTGGGCCTATTATGAATATTCCCATTTTACAAATGAGGAAACTGAAATTCAGGGAGGATGAATGGCTCGTCCAAGATTAAGTGGTGAAGCAGAGATGTGGAGCAGCCCGGAGCTGCCTGCCCACGAGGCCCGTGCTCCTTGGTCAACAGATGGAAGGATTGCCTCCTGTGTCCAGGCAGACAAGGAGGGCAGTGGGGACCCGTGGCAGGCTGGTGGCCCATGTAAGGAAGGCTTCCTGGAGGGACGGGTGGGTCCTTTAGTAGCTGTTCCCAGTAGGCGACCCCGGGCCGTGTCTTTGTCCACAGACAGCTCTCGGAAGACCTGCTCCTCGCCCGCGAGGCCCTGGAGAAGGAGGCCCAGTTACGGCGACAGCTCCAGCAGGAGAAGGAGGAGCTGCTGTACCGAGTCCTGGGGGCCAACGCCTCGCCCGCCTTCCCCCTGGCCCCTGTCACTCCCACCGAGGTCTCCTTCCTCGCCACATAGGGGCAGGGCCTGGGCCTGCAGTGACGCCTGTGGTCACCGTGGCCCCTCCAAGGACTTTCCAGAGAAGACAGCAGGAGCCTCTCAGTTCTTCTTGCAGGAAGGAGAGAGGGTGGGAGCGAGAAGGGGAGCCAGGGTGTGTGTGCCCCGGTGAGCCCTGGCGGGGTGGGTCACGTGGAGTCACCCAGGGCACTTTGGAGGCTGCGAGAAGCGTCTTCCCGTGAGTTGGCCGAGGGCGTTCACAAGAGGAGTCCCTGCTCCCTGCCTTTTTCTGTCCAAATCCAGGAAGTGCCGAGGCTCTTCCCGGGCCAGCCCGTGGCCACCTTGGCTGTCGGACACAAAGGAGACCAGCCCTGGGCCCAGCTGGTCAGCTTTGCTGCAACTCACTGACTTGTCAACTAGCCCCAGGTGTTCCCACCTCTGCCCTGGCCTTCTCTCAGCCTCAGTTTACCCCTGCTATAAAATGGTTGGGGGACTGGTCAAATGCCTCGAGTCGCTGCAGTGTCCCCCTCTAGGGTTGTCTGAAGGTCAGAGTTGGGGGAGGGAATAACCCTGTGAACAAGCTGGGGAAGGCGAGGGCTGGATGGCCCCGAAGGTGGGGGCTGGCGGGGCGCAGCCACTTCCGCCACGGAGACAGCACTTGTGGGCCCGAATCCGGAGTCCGGTCAGCCCAGGGCCGAGAGCCAGAGCTCCCCTTCCCTGACCGGGCAAGGCTGGTCCCTTCAGCCCTCCTGGTCCTCCCATCTCAGTGCAGCCGGGGCACAGGGGCCACCCTGGTGGGTCTGAGAACACTCAGCAGTCGCAGCGGGAGCCTCTTCCCTGTGCACATGAGGAAGCAAGGCCCAGCAGGGATCCCACAGAGTCGGGACCAGGACCTCACCTGGCAGCCGGGTCTCACCCTTTGCTCGTTTTCCTCCCCAGGCTCTGGGAAGATCAGATCAGTGACTTGGTCTTCCTCTTCCTTCCTCTCCCTGTCCCCATCCACTTTCAGTTTCTCTTTCACTCCTGTGGTCAACTCCTCCTCCTGCCACCCTGAGCCCAGGCCCAGGGCCCCCGTCAGTGAAGAGGGGTGGCCAGAGTAACTGACCTCCGCGGGCTGTCCAGCCCTGGCCATCTGTGGATCTCAGATCCTTCTCAGGAAGCTTCAGGTCAGCTGGAAACTGTAACAAGCCCTCGCCCGCACAGAGCACCTCCATCGAAGTGCTTCACTCATCACTCCCTCCCCTGGTCCTCATGAGATTCCTGAAGCAGCTTCCTACCCCTCATTAGTGACAAGGCAAACTGAGATCCCAGGCCCTGGGCCAGCGAAGCAACAGTCAATCAGCATTTTCCCCCAGTCCTTCTATGGTGACATCATCCCATTCCCCTGGATACGGTCTCCATCCGTTTCTAGTTCTACAAGTTCAGAGGGGACTGTCCATTTCCCCAGCTGGGCAGGGGAAGAGGTGGGGGAGCGGAGCGCTGAGCTGCTGCTCCAGCCGTGGTCAAACAGGCCACCGGGGGCCTTGAGCACACCTCTGGATGAGGCGCATGTGTACTTTTCCATGCAGCTTTTTCCAAAGTACATCTGGGTTACGCTAATTTATTGGACACTAATAGGCCTGACTGGTGGCCAACTATTTTGGGAAACTCTAGGTTCCATCAAGCTAAACAGATCTGTAACTTGTAGGACTCATCAGAATCTTAAATATGCTAGCTAATGTGCACTGCAAATTTCCAAGAAGGAGGTAAAGCATCCAGCATTTCCCAAACGTCTTGGAATAAACCTCTCCTCCTCACCCCTTCCACCCTCCAGCACTTCAAGCTGCAGAATGCACTAGAAAGCATGGTTTTCATTGAGACAGGTGGGGCTGGAGAAGGGGCAAGTTGTGGAGCCGGGTTTGCTCCCTGCAACATGCAGTGGAGGTGAGAAGGAAATAAATGTTTCCTTTCTATGGGGCGGACAAGCTACGGAAACTAAAAAGAACATGCACCATCTTATTCATTTAGCCTCTGTGTTCTGCTGGGAGAGGGCAGAGGTGGGTCTTCGCTGAGGACTCCTGCCAATGGCAGGGATCTTTGAAGAATAAATCCTGCAGTCTGGGTGGCCCACCAGCAGTCCTGGGCTCCCTCCTCAGGTACTGGAGCCCCACTGGCCCTGGCTTTGCCCCAGTCATGGAGGTAGGGCCTGGAGTTAGGGTGAAGGCTGCACTGTGGATGACCTTCAAAGTAGGTCATGGCATGGAGTAAGGCTGAGGTTGAAGTGAGAGGTGAAACCAGTGACGGGTGGGAGAGTGCACAGGGGTGATGGGGTAGGAGGCTGCAGGGAGTGAATGAAAAGGTGCTTCCTGCTCTGGGTGGTGGGAGCTCCTTGGCATTAGAAACGCTGAGGTTCCCCTAGGTACCAACCCCTAATTCTGCTCTTTGCTCTATACCCAGATGCCTACAGCCAGGGAGGTAGCTAAGAAGGGGTAGGGGAGACACAAGGGCTTTGGGTCACGGGGACACGAGTGGAGATGACTCCCCGACCACTCATCTTAAGTAGACCCTGGCACTTTGCCTTGTTTTGTTCTCCGTGTAGCACTCTACCTTCTCTACATGGTCACATTCGTCCATTTCCCGCTTCTCCCTCCCTGTTTAGACTATAAACTTGCAGAGAGCAGAAATCATTCCTCTTTTTGACTCTCTCAGCACCTAGCACAGTGTCTGGCATGTGGTGGGTGTTCAGTCATTATTGTTGGATCAGTTAACAGAGGAACAAAGTTTACATTCTTATGCGGTAACCTGAGAAATTGTTCTGTTTGACAAATGAGGAAACTGAGGCCCAGGAAAGGGAAGCGACTTGCCCCAGGTCCCTCAGAGGAGCCGTGTCAGAGTTGAGACGAGAATCCAGGGCCGTCAGATTTTCAGTCAAGCAGTGGTTCCATTCTGCCACGGTCGCTCTCGGCCCCGACCCTAATCCCTCACTCCCATCCCCCTGGCCCAACCCACCACAGACACATGTGCACGCAGCCCCCCTTACTCTCTGCCGACCGTCTGCCCTGGAGATTCCCAGCTGAAGTCCACAGCGATCCCTGGCTCACCCAGAACCGTACAGGTCCCACTGAAGCTCTTAAGTTGTACTGATGTTGCTGAAGCTTGGACAGTGCGTTCGGGGGAGGAAGGCAGGTCTGTCGTGGAGAGAGGGGAGAGAAAAGGAGACAAACATGCTGATTGATAGAGTTCATGGCAGGTGGACGGATGGAGAGATGGATGAAGAGGATGAACGGGTGGAATGGTTAAATTGATAGCGTATGAGTGATTGAGGTGGCTGACCTGTGAATGGATATAAAGAATCAATGCGGGGCCGGGTGAGGTGGCTCATGCCTGTAATCCTAGCACTCTGGGAGGCCGAGGCAGGCGGATTGCTCAAGGTCAGGAGTTTGAAACCAGCCTGAGCGAGACCCCGTCTCTACCAAAAATAGAAATAAATTAATTGACCAACTAAAAATATATATACAAAAAATTAGCCGGGCATGGTGGCGCATGCCTGTAGTCCCAGCTACTCGGGAGGCTGAGGCAGAAGGATCACTTGAGCCCAGGAGTTTGAGGTTGCTGTGAGCCAGGCTGACGCCACGGCACTCACTCTAGCCTGGGCAACAAAGTCAGACTCTGTCTCAAAAAAAAAAAAAAAGAATCAGTGTGGGATGGGTGGATGATAGCATGGTGGAGCTGATGGACGGGATGGTTGAGTTGAAGGAGGATGGATGAACGGGGTAGTTTACCTTGCTTGAGGAGAGGGAGGTGGATGGAAAGCCTGGGCTGGTGCGGGCTGGCTGGAGAAAGTGGCTGACCTCATGGAGTGTTATTGAAAGCCGACGGGTTGTGTAGAGCTCCATAATGTAATCTACACATCCCAAACGTGAGGTTACCAAAGGAGGTATCTGTCCCATACCCTCCCCTTCCCTGCCCACCTGGAGCCCTAGACCGACACACAGTTGATGTTGACCAGCAGGTATGCTATAGATACTTGTTTCAAGCCACCGAGATGGCCAAGCAGAAGAGGGAGCCAGCCCAGGAAGCTCAGGGCCAGTGGATGGTGAAGCCCTTCTTCGCGTCAAAGGAGACGTCCATCCCAGGGGGGACTCCCGGTGCAGTGTCACCTGGGCCAGGGATGGTCACCTGTCAGGGAAGCAGGGCTGGAAGATGGGTGCACAGCTGCACCACCTCGTAGTAGTCCTCCGTAGGGACAAAGAGCTCCTCCGGGTCTGGGAAGGAAGGAAAGAGAAAAACAAACTTGGGACAGGTTTGTTCCTTCCCAGTGCTCTACCCCACATAGGAGCACGAGGTCCTTCGTGGGGACTTTAAACCCCACTTTCCCTGCCCGTCCCCATTCTCCATGCCCCTTGCTTTGTCACAGGGAAGGGGCCCTGGACTGCAAGTGCTGAAGACAAGCCTACTCGTCCCGGCTCTGTCATTCGTCGTGCACAATAGTGGGAGGTTCAGCCCACTCAGTCTCTGAGGGCCCTTCTATGTGAGGAACACTACAGGAAATGCTGAAATTGAAGTCAGAGTTCCTGGTTTGATTCCCAGTCCTGCCACCCACTAGCTATGGGATGTTAAGCAACTCATTTTCCTCCTGTGAACCTTGGTTCTTCTCAAATGTCGGTTGGGAGCAATAATCGCATGCTGGCCTACTTGGCGGAACTGATAAGAAGCAAACGAGATACTGGATATGAGGCACCGGGCCTGTGGGAAGCAAACGTTCATCAAGCTCACTCAAGGTCCTTTTAACACAATCTCAAGGCAGGTTTGGGTGCACAATGATGCAATGAGCAGGAATTATTTGGGGACTAGCTTTCCAGAGCAGTGCCGTCCAACAGAACTTCCCTGATGATGGAAATGTTCTGTATCTGTGTTGCCCAGTAGCTAACCATTTGCATATGGGCACTGGAAATATAGCTAGTGCAACTGAGGAACTGAATTTTTTTAAATTTTGATTTGAATTAACTTTAAATAGCCACATCTGTTTAGTGACTTCTGTATTGGGTGAAGTGGCTCTAAAATGAGACAAATGCAATGGTTTTTAACTTTGGCTGCCCATTAGAATCACCTGAATGTTTTAAAAATGACAATTCCTGGGCACCACGCCCAGACCAAGTAAATCAGAACCTGCCTTGGCGTATATATGTGTGGGGGTGGGGTGGGGTATGTATTGTCTTAAAGCTCTGCAAGCAACTCTAATGTGCGGCCAGGGTTGGGAAGCACCAGCTACTGGTTCCCAAATCTGCTGAAGATTGGAATCACCTGTAGCTGCAGTCCCCAACCCCCCTGGCCAAGGACTAGTACTGGTCCGTGGCCTGTTAGGAACAAGGCCACTGGCAGAAGGTGAGCAAGAGAAGCTTCATCTGTATTAACAGGCACTCCCCATCGCCCGCAGCCTGCCTGAGCTCTGCCTCCTGTCAGCTCAGTGGAGGCTTTAGATTCTCATGGGAGCACCAGCCCTACTGTAAACTGCGCATGAGAAGGGTGTAAGTTGTGTGCTCTTTATGAGAACCTAATGCCTGATGATCCGAGGTGGAGATGAGGCAGTGTTCCATCCCCTCCCCACCCCAGCCCACCCCCCGTGGAAAAACTGTATCCATGAAACAAGTTCCTGGTGCCAAAAGGGTTGGGGACCACTGACCTGTAGGATTTGTTGCCATTACAGGTTTGCAGACTCCACCCGGTCTTAATGGCAGTGGGGCCCAGGAATCTGTTTTCTAACAGGCTCCCAGGCGATGCTGGTCATCAGCCAGGGTCATGAACCTCTAGATGGGACACTTATTACTGGTCTGGTTGGATTTGAGTAAGAGACATTGCTGACTCTACGAGAGTCACGTATTTCCTCTATTGGACTCCGTGACTACTCAGTTCTCCATGGATCTAGCCACAGAATCTCATGGGGGTGGGGAACCTGTGGCCTTGGGGCCACCTGTGGCCTTCTGGATCCTTGAGTGCAGCCTTTTGACTGAATCCAACCATCAAACGGGACAAAGGTCCTGGGTCTAGACTGCAGGCTGTCACATGCTCTCAGATTGTGCTGTTCCTCTCCATCCCACAGCACCTACTGCAGTTTGTAATTTGATGAGGATTGGTGTGATTATGTCATGAATGTCCGTCTCCAGCCTCCCAGGGTGTGAGCTCTCTGAGAGCTGGGACCAGGTCTGCTTTGCCCACCCTTTGTCTCCAGTGTCTTAGCGCAGTGCCTGGCACTTTGTGGGCACTAGAAAAATATTTGCTGTATGAATGAATAGGTGCTCTGGGCTGGTGGAATTCATTCATTTAGTTTTCATTAATCTAATATTTATTAAGTATCTTCCAAACAATGGAGACACGAAGAAGACAGGCATTAAACAAAAATATAATTATCAGGCCGGGTGCGGTGGCTCACACCTGTAATCCTAGCACTCTGGGAGGCCAAGGTGGGCGGATTGCTCAAGGTCAGGAGTTTGACACCAGCCTGAGCAAGAGCAAGACCCCATCTCTACTGTAAATAGAAAGAAATTAACTGGCCAACTAATGTATATAGAAAAAATTAGCCAGGCATGGTGGCACATGCCTGTAGTCCCAGCTACTCAGGAAGCTGAGGCAGCAGGATTGCTTGAGCCCAGGAGTTTGAGGTTGCTGTGAGCTAGACTGACGCCATAGCACTCACTCTAGCCTGGGCAACAAAGCAGGACTCCATCTCAAAAAAAAAAAAAAAAAAATATATATATATATATATATAAAATTATCAATTGGGACCCATGTTATGATGAGAAGGAACAGGGGACCCATGTTATGATGGGAAGGAACAGGATTCTAGGAGAGACAATGGGAAGGGTTTTACAAGTGCATTGGAAGATGGATCAGGAAGGAATTTCTGAGAAGTACGACAATTTAAGATGAAACCTGCAGCAGGAGCTAGTGAGAGCTAGTCAGGCAATCTTCCAGGCTTGGAAGAACTTTCGCCCATGCAGAAGGAATTATTTGTGCAGATGGAATCTCTCATTGAATTGAGTGAGTCATGGAATCTTGGAATCCCAGAAAGAGGATCTTTTTTTTTTTTTTTTTTTTTTTTGAGACAGAGTCTCACTTTGTTGCCCAGGCTAGAGTGAGTGCCATGGCGTCAGCCTAGCTCACAGCAACCTCAAACTCCTGGGCTCGAGTGATCCTTCTGCCTCAGCCTCCCGGGTAGCTGGGACTACAGGCATGTGCCACCATGCCCGGCTAATTTTTTTATATATATATCAGTTGGCCAATGAATTTCTTTGTATTTATAGTAGAGACGGGGGTCTCACTCTTGCTCAGGCTGGTTTTGAACTCCTGACCTTGAGCAATCCGCCCGCCTCGGCCTCCCAAGAGCTAGGATTACAGGCGTGAGCCACAGCGCCCGGCCTCAGAAAGAGGATCTTAAGAGTCACAGAATCTTAACCTCACAGAACCTTGAAACGAGGCAGAACTGAAACTTGCCAGCAGGTGGCAGTGTTTGAACATTTCCAGCTTCCCCAGCCGGCATGGGGGAGAACTTGAACTTTCTCCTATAATCACAGAAAATGCAGCCCAGAGCAGGGAGATAACAAAGTCTGGAATCTCAGTTCCTTGTTCTGGCCTAAATCACAGGATCACACCATCTCCCTTCCAGATACATTTGGATGGGCCACTCCATGGAGGTAGGGGCTTAAGACAGTGCCAAAAAGATGTCATTTTAACCTGTTTCCCACCCACATTTGCTTCCTTCTGGGGCTTGTTTCCACCTAGAAGCAAGGCTGGATCCACGGCTCCTGGATGTTTAGTTTGTTTCCTTTTTGCACTGTAGAAATATAGCATTGGGCCTAAAGCTTCTTATGTATTTCAAATTATTTTCTTAGGACTGATTCCCAGAACTTAGGTGATCAGGTCAAAGAGAATGAGCAGTAGATTAGCTTTTATGTCTGCCCGAGGCTGCGTCTCAGGAATTAAGGTTCTGGGCTCTGCAGTGAAGGGAACCTGCCTTTCAATCCTGCCTCTGTCACCTGGGCTGACCTTGAGCAAAGGCCATAATTTATCTGAATTTCACTCACTCTTACTGCAAATTAAGAACACTAATAGCCCCCACACTTGTATGCTAGATCCCACTCTCTCTCTAAATAACACTGAGAATTCTCCCCTTTCTCTTCTCTATCAATTTTTCACCTTCTATCCGATTATTCCCATCAGCATACAGATGCGTTGTTATAGCTTCAATCTTAAAGAAACAAACAAACAAACAAAACCCAAAACCCTTCCTTTGACTCTGATTCCCCTGCCAGACACTGCCCGTTGCCTTGCTGGCCTAAGCAGCCACACTCCTGGAGCAAGAGTTCATGCCCTTCCTATCAGGCCTTCGCCCCAGCATCCCACCTGCTCTCCTCTGCACGGCGAGAGAAGTGTTGGCCTGCATGTTGCTGAATCCGGTGATGGATGCTTGGGCTTTGTCCTACCTAACCTAAAAGCAGCATTTGACACAACTGATCACTCCCTCCTCCTTAAAGCACTTTTCTTCACTTGCCGTCCATGCTCTCCTGAGGTGGTTTCCTCCCGTCTCACGGCACCAGTGAGACCAGTTTCCTCCCAGTCACCTTTGCTGGATCCTTCTCTTCTCCCCAGCTCTTAACTTAAGAATGTCTCAGACTCAGTCCTTGGTTCTTCTCTTCTTCCTTGAGGATCTCATCTCCTGAACTCCGGTCTTGTCTAACCAACTGCCTACTTGACATCACTTGGATGTCTAACAAAATCTTAAGCTGGTCAAAAGCTGAAATCTTGATCGTTTTCCCACTTTTACCCCCCCCCCCAAATTGCTTCCCCACTGGCCTTGTTCATTTCACTTGATGGTAACTCCATCCTTCCAGTGGCTCAGGCCAAGGTCCTTGAAGCCATTCTTGATTCTCTTTCTCATCTCACATCCCCTCCTTCAGGAAATTGTGTCTGGTCAACCTCCAAATATTTGCAGTCTCAAACCACTTCCTACCACCTCCATTTATACCAGTCTAGGGGAGGCACCATCACCTCTTGCCTGGATTACTGCAAAGCCTCCTACCAGAGCCCTTTCTTCTGCTCTGGCCCACTCAGCAGTATTCAGTATTCTCAGCACAGGAGTCTTGAGTCACCCTTCAAAAAATATGTCATATCCAGACTATATATACAACTGTACAACTGAACAACAAACAAGACAAACAATTCAACTTAAAAATGAGCAAAGGAATTAACTAAACATGTCCCTAAAGAAGACGTATAAATTTTGTCCAAGAAGCACAGGAAAAGATGCTCTACATCACTAGTCAGTAGGGAAATGCAACTCAAAACCACCATTAGGTAACATTTCATAAAGACTAGGACAAATATTTTTAAAAAATAAAATAAAATATGGCTGGGTGTGGTGCCGCACACCTGTAATCCCAGCACTTTGGGAAACTGAGGCAGGAGGATCACTTGAGGCCAGGAGTTTGAGATCAGCCTGGGCAACAGAGCCAGACCTCACCTCTACAATTTTTTTTTAAATTAGCCAGGTGTGGTAGTGCACATCTATAGTCCCAGCTACTTGAAAGGCTGAGACAAGAGGATTCCTTGAGCCCAGGAATCTGAGGCTACAGTGAGCTATGATCATAGCACTGTACTCCAGTCTGGGTAACAGAGCAAGACCCTGTCTCAAACAAAAAAAAATGTGTGTGTGTATATGTATATATAAATGAATGAGTGTTGTCAACGATGTGGAGAAGCTGAAAATCTCATAAGTTGCTGTTGGAAATATAAAATGGTACAGCCACTGTGAGAAACAGCTTGGTGGTTCTTCAAAAAGTTAAAACTAGAATTACCATATGACCCAACTATTTCATTTCCAGGTAAAACCACAAGAGAACTAAAAGCAAGTATTCAAATAAGTATTTGCATACAAATGTTCATTAGTAGCACTATTCACAACATCTAAAAAATGGAAATAACCCAAATGTCCATCAACAGATAAATAGATAAGCAAACCATGGCATATTTATAAAAAAAGGAACATTATTCAGCCATAAAAAGGAATGAAGTACTGATACATGCTACAATGTAGAGGGGCTTCCAAAACATTATGCTAGATAAAAGCCAGATACAAAAGGCCACATATTATACGATTCCATTTAAATAAAACATTCAGAATAGGTAAATCCATGAAGGCAGAAAGCAAATTGGTGGTTGCCAGGGACTAGGGGAATTGGGAAGGGACTGCTCAAGGTGTATGGGGTCTACCTTTGCAATGTTTGACAAAGCACTGATGACACTGTTTTGGAGCTGGACAGAGGCAGTGGTTGTACATCATTGTGAACATACTAATTGCCACTCGGCTATTCACTTTAAAATGGTTAATTTTATGTTATATGGCTTTCACATCCCCCTCCCCAGAAAGATCATGTCCTTCCTTTGCTCAATGCCCTGCGATGACTCAGAGGAAAAGACAAAGTCCCCATGAGGGCCCCTGAGGCCCCACATGATTTGGTCCTTATCTCTCCTCTCCGGCTGCTCTCTCTCTCACTCCTTGTGCTCCAGGCACGCTGGCCCCCTTGCTGCTCCCTGGACATGCCAGGCCTGCTCCAGCATTTGCTCCAGCGCTTGGTTTCGTGTGCCTGGAACACTCTTTCAACAGATAGCTGTTCAGCTCTGCTGACTTCCTCGTCTCCTCCGAGTCTTTGCTCAAATATCACTCTCTCACTGAAGCCTCTGCCAAACACCCTACAAAATATAATACTGCAACTTTGCCTGCCACTCTGGGACTCCATCTACTTTTCCTTCTCTTTGACCACAGCACTTGCTACCTACTAATATACTGTCCTATGGCCTTAGTGTGTGTCTATTTCCCCGCTGCTGGGACGCAGACTTCACCGGGGCGGGGGCGGAGGTCTTTGTTTCATTTGTTGATAAAGCTCTAAAGCTCCTAAAATAGTTCCTGGCACATAGTAGGTGCTGGATAAATATTTGTTATTAATAGATGAATTGTGAGGATTAAATGTGACAATAGCAAGCAAAGTGCTCACAGTAGTGCGTGGCTCATAGAAAATGCTCACTAAATGGGGCTACTGCTATGATGCTTAACAAGACTCCACCTCCATCTTCACTGGATCCAGCCCCTTCCTAGTCTATCTCTGAAGCAGTTGCTTTGACTGACAGCAGATCTCATCTTATGATTATTTTAAGTTCTTAGTCTCCCACTGGAGTCCACTCATCTTTCTGGTTGCAATTTGACATGGCTCTCATTCAGAAGCCGGTTCGGCTGAGTCCATGTGTTCTGGGCCATCTCAGCCCTCTGTAGTTTCCATATTGCAACACTCTAGACTTCACTGTAACAATGTAACTACCTGTCTTCCCTGAAAGTAGCAGCTCCATGAAGGCAGATCAGGGAGCCACTCCCACTTGCTCACTCAGGTCTCCCAGCTCAGTGCCTGGCATGCAGCAGGTGCTCAGTATTTGTTAGGAAAATGAAAAAGTGGAAGAACATATTTTCCAAACAGATTTCCTTGTTAGAGGGTTAGAGGTCTCTGAACTAGAGACGGATTCTGAGGCCACCCTCTGAGGCTGCTTTGGTTATCCCCATCTGTCAGATGACCCAGCTGGAACTCAGAGCAGTTCCGAGCCTTGCCCCCAGAGACGCAGGGGCTGAGCTGGCAGGGAATGGAAGGAACTGACCTGTAGTACAGCCCACCTCCTCTGGGAAGTCTGTACACATCCCTCTCCTGGGGAAGGCCAAAACTCTGTTTCTCTGGCTTCCCAAAGAGTTTATCATTTTTCCATGTTCCAGCATTTGCCCCACAGCCCTGGGTTACAACTGCTGGTCTCCTTGTCTCCCTTCCCCCTGGAATATGCGCTCCCCAGAGCCAATGGGGTGCGGACCCTGCAGCCTTGGGCCACACGTGGCCTTCTGGATCCTTGAGTGCGGCCTTTTGACTGAATCCAAATTTTACAGAACTGGCCCAAGGTCAAATCCAGGCTCCACAACCTAGTAGCCGTGTGGCCTTGGCAAGGAACTGGCATTCTCTGGGCTCTCCTTCTCAGGAAAGTGGATAAACGTCACAAAACCCGCAGGCGGTTGAGCCCTGGAATCCGATCAGGTAGATAAAAGTGCTCCGCCTCTAGCAAGCCTCAATTTTCTGTTTCGCCACAAAGCTTCTGGAGGAATGTGTCCAGTACTGGGAGTCAGGAGCCCTGACGTCTAGTCCCGAGTGGCCGAGTGACCTTGGCCAAATCCCCTTGCCCCTCTGGGTCTCAGGTCTGGAGTCTGAGGACTGACATGGTTCTCCTGGCCGGGCCACTCCGGCTGGTGACATTCTAAGATTCCAAGCGCAAAGAAACTTGCAGGGTGGGGGAGGAGGGGGTCGGAGGCTGGAGGGGGGAGGCGGGCGAGCCGGATTGGCCTCTGTGCGCCACGTGTCCGACCCCGAGCCGCCGGCAGTCCTGCGGCCCGCCCCTGCGCCGGCTGCCGCTGCGCTAACGGGCTCCGACCCAGCGAGCTCCGCGTCCGCCTGCGACTAGACGCTCCGCCGCGCGGTGAGTGGGTTGATCCCGGAGAGGGGAGTCACTCCAGGGGACCCCAGTCCTGGGGGCTGCAGGGACGAGGGGACGAGCGATAAACGCCCAGGCACGGGCTGGTCGATGCCCCCGGCCGCCAGCGGGAACCGGAGGGCGCGGTAACCCGAGAGCGTCGCGGCTGGGTGTGTCTGGGGAGCGCAGTGGAGCAAGTCTAGGGCCCGGCCGAGGAGCGCAGGCGGAGGGCGCCCTGGGGGAGGGGAGCCCCGGCTCTGCAGAGGGTGTGGTCGAGGGCTGGGGGCGCCGGAGCTGGGGCGGGACCGGCTGCTGGTGCTGCCGCATTTAACTTAGGGGGTTGAAGAGACATCGAAGGCCACGGGTTGGGGGCGGCTGGACGCGGGACTAAGGACCCGCAGGGAAGGGTGTGGCCGAGGACAAAGACTGGAGAGTGGGCCCCTCCATTTGCATATGAAGTGGCTCCTGTGTGGTGCTGGGGGGAGGGCTCGCTGCGAGAGGGGGATGGAGGACCTGCTGTCCACACCTGCGGGCCCATGGACCCCCTTTCCTCTTCGGGCCAGTGCTCGTCCACTGCTTGCCGATGGAGGAGTCTCCCAGCTGGGCTTCCAGGGCTCTTTCTGCTTTCCCCAAGCACAGGCCTTCCCAAAGCCTGGGGGCTTCAGATGACTCCCACATGCTAGAAAGGCAGTGAAATACCCTGAATCCGCATCCCGACTCCTCCAACACTTTGCATTGTGACCTTGAGCCAGTGGCTTTCCCTCTCTGAGCCTGAATTTCCTTCTCCAAGGAAAGCTGATAAACTCAGCCAGTTTCAGAGGAAACGATGGCTGTGAAAATGGATTTATTTGTCAGCTGCAAGGAACCATTACAGGTTTGAGAATCCTGATCGTAGGTTTAGGAAGCCCAGCCCAACCCTTGTAGGGCCTAGAAGGGGAAGGAGGTCCTTTGGGAGGGCTACTGTGGCCACTGCTTCCTCCCTCCCCCTCCTTTTCTCTAAACTCTGGTGGGTCTTTCTGACAATTCCAAATTTGGACATATGGCTCCGGGTTTGTGAAAGGACTGGTTTTCCCCAAGAGTCTGCTGTTTTCCCCTGCTATTCCTTCCCGCCTTGCCCAAAACACACCTTCAATTGCTGGCCATGTGGATGCAGACAGGATATCCTGACCTGCTTAGCCCTTCGAGGAGGAGCGGTGAGTGACCGCCCCAGCTTCAGCCCCGTGGACCCTGACCTTCCAGCTGGCAGCCCCTGAGCCCTGCAGAGGGCACTGGCCTAGCGGCCAGCGGGAAGCCGGCGTCCAGTCCAGGTGCGCTGGGGGTTCTTGAGCAAGCCCTTTCCTCTCTGGGCCTTTGTTGCCCGCCTTTGGCAAAGTCGGCTAAACTGGCCGCCACTTAGCGGGTGTGCTAAGATTTAGGATTCTGGGAGTTGGGTGGGGCCGAGGAGGGCGGGAGGCAGAGGCTTTCGTCCCCCTCTGCAGCTGTGACAGTCACTCATCCGTCTCTCTTTGCCTTCTACCCTTTGTTCCCAAGGGTACCTCTGCTGGGATACAGAAAATATTTGCGGTTTCTAGGTAAGGGCCACAGCTGTTGCTGGGGCAGAATTGGATGTGAGTGTGCAGACGAGGGGGCTGCCAGGAGAGGCCTGGGCCTGGCCCTGTGGGGCTGATCTCCTGGGATGAGGTGGGGGAGACTGCAGTGCTGGGTCGCTGCCAACCTCTAGAACACATCTGCACTGCAGCACCCAGAGGGAGCCCTGGGCCACCAGGCTCTAGCCCCAGTCCCAGCCTCTGCTCTGCCCCTAACCAGCCAGGAGCCCGGGGCACACCTACTACCCGCCTGGGCCTCAGTTCCTTCCTCCCTAGAGAGAAAAGGCCTGTGCCCAGGGCACCCAGCTGGTAAGATAGGTTGGATCTGATGGCTCTTCTTGCTGTACCATTCTAGGACTTTCTGCAGAGGCTTAGTGGAGCCATTAGCCTTCCCTGACCCTGCCTCTCCAAGATGCTTCCTGGGAGGGGACAAAGCACAGGATGTGGTCTCTACTGTGATTCCTAAGCATGCTTGGCCCTCCAGTCACCCTGCCAACAGAGAGAGGACGCAGGGGGTAGTCTTTATCTTTATAAACTTTGCTTGGAATCCAGCCACATCCCTTTCTTGTTGGGGTTGAGAAGCCCCAGCAGAGACTGACTATGGAGAAATGACTGTCCATGGGATCCTTGAGCCTTAGATTCTCCCATCTGTATGGTGAGGATGAGGTCGATACCTTCAAGAGGTTATGAGATGGCAGATGTGAAAGTGTCCTGTAAACTGTAGAGTGCGGTAAACAGACAAGCAAGTGCTGCTGCTGTAATCTCAGAAGGGTGCGGTGCCTGGGAAGGCAGGCCACCTGAGCCTCAGGTTCCCCTCGTGTCAAACGAGTTATCTTGGTGCTCCTTAAACAATAACAATAAAACAGTAACCACTACTATTTATTGAGCCCTTGCAACTTACCGGGCCCTGGCTGAACGCTTGCTATGTTAGATGCTGTTATTATGCCCATTTTGCAGATGTGGAAACTTCAGCCCTCTAGAGTTTAAGGGAGAAATACTAATTATAAACACTTATACAGTATAGTGTTTCCCTTGGGCCAGGTCCTCTTCTAAGCACTAGACTTGTCTTAATTCTTTTCATCCTCACCATAACTCCTATGATGTAGGTACTCTTGTTATCCCCATTTTTCATATGAAATGGGCACAGAGAGGTTAAATCCTTGCCCAAGGCCACACAGCTACTAAATAGCAACCTCAGGCTTCAGTCTGAGGCCTCTCTGTACCGCCTCACAAAAGCGACAAGAACTGGGATTCAAACCCAGGCCAGACCAGTTCCTCTTCTGGGGCAGACAGATGATCTTCTTGGGGCCTCGTCCAGCCGAGGGTCAGTGGTTCTGGGTCAGGAGAGGGAAAGACACTGCTCTCTAAGAAACCCGAGTGCCAGGAGCAGGGGGGTGTGCCCAGGCACAGAGCCAGGGACAGCGTCGCCCTGGGTCATCAGAGCTGAACCTCCCGGAGGGCTATGGAGCTAGTCCTAGGCGTCTACCTGCGGGCTGAGGGAGAGGCCATCAGGAAAGAGGAAAGAAGGAAGGACCTAGATTTTATAGGCCAAGGGCTTCCAAATGGCGTGGACACACCTTGCGAGGCACTGAAGATGATCTTTTGGGATATAGGAAGAGACTGTTAGACCTCTCTCTCTTTTTTTCTTTTAACCCGGCTTATTTTGGAATGTTAGACCTCTTACTAGTAGGTATACTTTTAATGTCATCTTTAAAAAGTGTATTTCTTCATACAGGATATGGCTGACAAAGAAAGTATAGTTCTGTTTATCATGATAAATGCTAAATGTTTTTCTTTTGTTACTGGTTGTATGTGGGATCAAAAAACATCTGCAGAGTGCTGCATGAGACCACTGCCAGCTGCATGGGGGCAGGAGCCCCTCTGTCTCACTTTCTCTTCTACCTCCAACTCCTACCAGTGTGCCTAGTTTGCAGAAGCTGCTCAGTAAATTTTTTTTTGAAGAATGAGTCCCTGCTTCATATCTGATTTTTTTTTTTATGACATTGAGCAAGGTACCTAACCTCTCTATTTCCTCTCCTAGCTGTAGAATGAGGAGGAAAGCACAGTTTGAAACCACGAGGCTAGATGGTTCCATTTGTTGTGTGATTTTTCAAGGAGGTCACTAAAGAAAACGTGAAAGCCACATGGTAGATTTACCCAGCAAGCCTAGGGAGCCACGCCCTGTGGTACGGGGTGCAGAAAGAGGCATATGCAGTCATTTTCATAAAAGGGTCAAATCATGGCTCACGCAGATATAAAATGAACATGTGCTAAAGATTTTATTTTACTCATTAATCAATGACCACAGCCGGCGGTTGTTGTAACCAGCTCAAAAGAAAATCTGTAGACACCTTTATTGAAAGTAATATGCAATTAGAGGCAAAACTGGTTTTTCCACCTGAGGGGCAGGAAGTCAATTGGACCTTTACCAGACTGGAGAGAATGAGAATGTATTAGAATTACTTTGTATTACTGTCAATTATCTGCAACTTATTGAGCTGTAAAATAGCTTGAAGATGAAAGGCTAGAGTCGGATCCCCGGATCCCCCCCCACTACAGGGCAGCCTCAAGGCCACCTGCGGCCCTCCAGATCCCCAAGTGTGGCCCCTCAACTGAATCCAAACTTCACAGAGAAAATCCTAGGGGTTCTGTCAAAAGGCCACACTCTAAGATCTGAGGCCCATGTATGGTCCCAAGGAAGGTTCCCCTCCCCCATAGGGTTTTCCTTTGAAGTAGATTTTTTTTTTTTTTTGCTGCAGTACCTTGGGGCTGCATGTGGCTTTCTGGATCCTTGAGTGTGGCCTTTTGACCGGACGAAAATTTTGCAGAACAAATCCCTGTTTTAAATTTTTTTAAGGGGGGAACACCTACCGCCTGACCTCTTCCTCCAGAACAAATCCTTTTAATAAAGAGATTTGTTCTGTGAAGTTTAGATCATGGTCTAGGGGCCGCACATGGGGATCCATCCGGAGGGCCACATGTGGCCTTGGGGCTGTGGGTTCCCCACCCGGCCTTGCAGGCTAGCACTTCCATCTGATGGGGGAATGATAAACCTGCCATGGTGGACCCCAGCCAGCCTGATGAAGGTGGTTTCAGAGCACCGGGTGATTCAGAGCAAGAAGAAAGCCCTCCTTGATTCTTAGAAGAGGTGGCATTTGAATTCAGCAGAGAACAGTGGTTCTCAGCCTCTTTGGCTGTACATTAGAATCACCTAGGAAAGTTTTTAGAAATTACCAAAGCCCAGGACTCACCCCAGGACAGTTGAGTCAGAATCTCTAGGGGTTGACCTTATGCTTTGGTAATTTTGAAAAACTCCCAGGCTGTATTTATTAATGAAGCAGAATTGATAAGCACGGGTCTAGAAGGCTAGAAGGCTGGATGGAAAATGCTGGCGGGAGGCATTCTTGGTTTAGCAGGGGAGAGGGTGAAGAGGAGGGAGGTGAGAGCAGAGAAGTCAGGAAGGATAACTAAGGGCCTGAATGCTGAGCTTTCCGCATTGAAAGGCACCATTGGACGCTAGTGAGCAAAGAGGTGACATGGCTCAGTGCAGACCGCAGGCACTCCTCTGATTGTCATACCCAGTACCCATCTTTGGAGACCACTGCTCTAATGATGGTGATTGTGGTAACGGAAAGCACTGTTTATTTATTAAACATTTAATCTATACCTGACTATGCTAAGTATTTTACCTGCCTTACTTCTTTGAATTTTTTCCCAAAAACCTTACGACATTGTCATTTCAGAGATGAAGAAATTGATACTGAGAGAAATTACATAACTCACCCAGGGTCCTAAGTTAGGAATTTGCAGTGTCAGGATTTGAACTCCTGCCTCCATCTCAAAGCCTGGGTTTATCGCAGTGCCACACTGCCTCCTTTGTAATGTTTGCGCTCATCATAACGCAAGCTACCGTTTCCTGAGCCTTTACTGTGTGCCAGGCATTGTGCTAAGTGCTTTTCATCTGTTATTTCATTTATTTCTCAGTACCTGTAGGTGTCTCCACATGCATTTTGCAGGCATTGAAATTGAGATTCAGTTTAAGTAATTTGCCTAAATCACAAACGACTGGGGGACAGCTGTGCCTCAAAGCTAGCTCATGCCTTCACATGACTTGGACAAGACGCTGGCCCTGTCCGGCCCTCCTGGTTGGGCAGGGGTGAGCTGCTGTCCCTCCTAGAGTCAGCCAGGAGCTCCCAAAGGGGAAGGAAGGAAATGTGCTTGATTACAGGGCAAAGCACTGGGGTAGGGGTGTGTGTGTGTGTGGGGGGGTGTCTACAGCACCACCGAGCCATCCAGGTGACTCTAGCCCTGCATGGGTTTCTGGAATGATCAGTTGTGATGAGCCCTCACGGAAGCTCAGCCAGGTCAGAAGAGATCCGCGGTTCCTGGGGGATGGAAGTTGCATATTGGTGTCCTGGGAGATAGCCCTCAAGGACTGATAGTCCACTGTGCAATCCCTGGCTGAAATCTATACAAAAGCCTCTCACGTCTGCTCTGGATCTTCCCAAAGAGGGAGTGGTATATTGTCTCCCGTTTATAGATGAAGAAACTAAGGCTCAGGGAGGGAACCGGGCTTGTCTAAGGTTACAGAGGGGTAGACTGGGAACTAGAACCTGGGTCTTGTTCTTTGGTCTCTTCCTGATATCCCGATGCAGGCAGGGCCCACGGCTGGATGGGGGCTTCTTACGACTGGAGCCTATGACACAGAGATGTTGGCTGC